CACAAGAAAAGACCTTTAAAGAAAAAGACAGACAGGAATAAAAGTTGATTAAAAGTTTTGCGATTGGCCCAGAAATGGCTTTGCCTGCTAATATCTGGGGCAAGCCAACTCATAATGGTTCTCATTTTATTATTATTAATAGGCGCTTTCACACCAAGTACTTTTCCCAGAAATAGTTCCCGGAACTTTTCCCCGGAACTTTCATTTCCTGGAACTATCTAGTAAATCGCGTTCACACCGGAATAAGTCACTGAGGGAGGATTAGGCAAATGAAGCCGCTGACGTCACTTCTTCTTCTTCTTCTGCTTTGGGTTTACTGGCAGGCCGCAAACAACTTCACGGCGTATACTGCCCCCCGAAGTCCCCGGCCGGAAGTCCCCGGAGTTGGGGACTGGCTTCAGTAGAAGCTGCTGGGACTCCCAGCAGCTTCTACTGAAGCCTTCCGAGTAAATCGCCAGAAGCGCCGACACCTCCTCATCTCCACCGCTCCCATATTTTCTTTTGTGTTGCCATAAGATAGTCTCTCTCCGTTGGTGCGCTGGGCTAATGCTAATGCTAATAATGCTAATGCGAGCAAATAAAATGGCGGCTTCACAAAAACTTTTCAGAGTTTTACGGGCCGTGGTTTGCAATTCGCCCAGCCAATCAGAAATTGGAACCTTTTTCTCCCCAGGAAAGTCCCTGCTCTCTAGCAGGGACTAAAAAGGGGTGAAAAGGTTCGCAAAAAAAAGTTCTAGTTCCAGATCTTTTTGGTGTGAACGCAAAATCGGAACTATCCCTGGGAAAAGTACTCACTCAAAAGTACTATTGTGCTTCCATCAAAGTAACCTAATATGTTTTACGATTATAACCCTATATTGCTATATGTTTGGAAGCCTACCTGTGGCCCTGTACGTTTTTGCATAGTAAAGAGGAAAACATTTGCATTAGAGTCTCAGCATTTCTGTGTTTGACGTGGAAACTGGAATAATCAGAATATCCCTTTATCCATCCATCAAGTCGTATAGTTTGGCTCCACTTCAGTGTGCATTTACCTGCTGACAGTATGAAACCCTTGTCATTTATTTACAGTCAGGTAGGAATGCAAAATTCAGCAAGCATCCCATTAGTGGGGAAACAAAACAAAAAAAACTCATGCAAGGTTGTTAGCTTGTTGGATGGGAGGCTTGTTGAGCCCCATCCTATTTCATCCCAGCGTGTTGCATTCCTGAGAGCTGCTAACAGATGGCTATGGGGTGAGACAGATGGGACAGAGACGTATGGAGGCAAAACATGAAAAATGTTCTCTTACGATGCAGCAAAACCGTAATAGATCAGATCAGCTGATCAGCAGCAAAGTGCTAAAAAATAAGTGATGTACTCAAAAGGACACTTTATATCTGTAATACTCTAAATGATGTCAAAGAATATAGAGCACAACAAATTAGCCCCTCATCCATCAACCCTTGGATTTCCATTTCTCACAGCCAGTCAAATATATGACAATCTAAATGTGTACAATATGTCAGTTTGCCCATGTATTTGTTTGATAATTGTATCTGGACCACATCCTTACCTGAGTAGGCGTGTCATGGCGTGCCGGGCAGCATAGTGCAGTGGAGTGTTGTGCTGGTAGGACTCTCCGTATGTGGAGTTTGGATCCAGAGCCTCCTTGAACTGCGGGTTGCTCTCATACAGATGGCAGGCCAGCATCTCATCCCCATTGATGAGAGCCTTACGGAACTTTGTCGCTATGTTTCCCATCTCTTCCTCTACCGTGGTTTCAAGGTGGGACTGACGCAGCAGCCTCTTCAGTCGTCTTCAACCTGTTCACGTCCAATAGGACAACATACTGAATGTCCTAAAGAAAAGAACAAAAACAGTAAGTTGGATTCCTTTATGGCAGTGTCCGAGTCCTAAAAGGCCTAAAGAACGATGAGTATTAATCACTTCCACTGCCTCAGAATCACAAGAACAAGTTGCATCTCCAAGGTTGCTCATGCTTCTGTGCCACAAGCCCCTGTGTCAGCATCCCCACGGCACTGTAAACCACCTCCTTGTGTTCGCCTTTTATTTTTTTGTTTTGAATTACTAAACATAGGGCCAACAAAGCTCACACAGAGAGAAGGACAAGACTTCCTCTTGCAATCACCGGGAGCTTCCGCCTCTCCATGCCAATACTGCCCATCCCACTGAGGCCAGGAGCCATTGTGGAGCAAGATATCCTCAGCTGAAGAACAACACGCAGCGAGTCAGCATTTCGCTTCCACCAGAGCACCATATGGTCATGACTGTTTGGGCGGTGTGAAGCTTTTATGTATTTTTGGTGTGCTACAGTACAAATCAACAGAACACAAGCATCCCCTTCAGCATGATATATTCTACCTAATGATAATAGGAATTCATACTGATTTCTTATCACCATGCAAATCCTTCTGCACAATGACGCTTTGTTAATTAAGTGCACAATAGATGGAAAAAATGCTTCCCGAGAACACCTACAAAGTATACATACACAACTCTCTTTAGGTTAGCAACAATCACAAAGGAAACCATTAGCGATTTTTGACATTCCTATTGCAGGACAATTGATTATGTTTCCGCAGCTTATGTAAACAGAGTAAAGAGTGTGGATAACGTGTGTGTGTGTGTGTGTGTGTGTGTGTGTGTGTGTGTGTGTGTGTGTGTGTGTGTGTGTGTGTGTGTGTGTGTGAGAGATAGGAAAAGGCGGGATTTCAGCTTTTGTAACCTTTTCCCAGGAATAGTGTTACTCACTGTAATTTGAGGATCGATTACATCACACTCTAACAACATAATAATATAACGGCTTGGAAAAAATAACATATTCATGCATTCAACGTGTAGGGCTAATTACTTAGTTTTGATATAGGTGCATTTGCAGATAATTTGTTTATACATTAAAAATATTATACATTTTCCATCAAGTTTCTCAAAGTCACGGTGTTTTATTTAAATTTCCTGTGACTCAATTCAAAATCCACATTTTCAGTTTTTTAAAACTTATTTAGAGAGGTGTGGTTTAATTTTAATAACACTTTCGGGAGATGTTATCTGTGATGCCATGTGACTTACATCATATGGTTTGGACAAAACAAATATATAAACTAGGGTTAATTAATATGTGTTAATACATTGCCATTTTAGTATATGACATCATCTTCAGCCATCCTTGCAATAGGAACTGTTCATTCGTATAACTTAAAACACCTAACTTACAAACACCACTAACACAAGTATAAGTCACTAAAACAAAAGTTATAACAAGGTTACTTGCCTTGCATCAATACATATGTGCCAAGCTTGTGCCATGTGATGCCATGACATCATAAACACTCACATTAAGACTAACAGAACATGTCCCACCTAGGGGAACACTTGTAAACACCTGATCTTTGAACACAGTTATATAACCTCATAGATGGCAACACAGATAAGGTAACTCTACAAATAACGAATTACATATCTGACAATTGAGACAACCCATGCTCCATGACAGCGCCCACAAGCACCTAACAATAGCTATAAAACATAATCAGCTAAGGACACTAACATGACATTAAAATGTAACAGTGTGTCTGCGTAGTGCCACTTGTCACTAAAGTCCTCCATGCAGGCCTTTCCCCATGTTGTGTAGTGTTTACCATTTTCGCTAGCTCCGACAGCAGCGTGTTGTGTTAATGAACAGTGCGTGATAACGCGTTGTTACATTTCTGGTTAATGACAACAACAACCAGTCAACTGACCTTAGATAACGTTAGCTGCAAACCATTCCGTTTGTTGAAAGGGCTTGTTTCAACCACAATACTCCTCGCTAGCTGGATGTTAATCATAAACATAAAAACATCATGACGCCAGTGTCTGCGTTGGCTAACGTCAGTGCATACGATAGCGGACCTGCTAGCAAGCTAACTGCACTGCTAGCCAACTTAGCTAGCACAGTTGATAAACTCACAGTAAACAATGAGTAACAAGTATTCAGACTTACACAGACGGTACATCTCGCCGTGGTAGACCTTAACTTGTGGATTAGCTGTCACTCGCTAGCACAATGAACAGAGGCTTTTCTTGTTAGTGAGGTAATCCATAAAAAATGTGTGCACGAAGCAATGATGTTGTTCCTGTCAACTCTTCGTTGACTCTATGCTGGCTGCTACGGGTTGCCAGGTTTCAGCACAAGCCCCAAAACAGGCGGGGATGGAAATGGCTCGTTTTCCGGACAGATTGAACTATGAACGATAAGCACACTGAGGCTATTAATTGAGTTTTACACCCTCAATTTACACTGTCGAAGTACTCTGGACAGACTATGAGAAGCAGTATTCCAAAAAGTGCATTTTTGTGTTAGTTCGTTCTTTCGGAAGCCCATTGTGTCCTTTTCCTGTTTATCACAAAGGCTCAGAATCAGAAGCCAGAAGCTTTCAGATTGAGTCAAATATAGCCTGCAGGTTGCAATATACAGAAAAGACATGAGATATTAAAAAGAAAAGAAAAAAAGTGGAACAAATTTAAATCCTCCATTGTTCGACTGTAGAGTATAGTTTTAGTATAGATTGAAATTGAGAAATAACCGAATTTTAATGTTGAATTCACTAAGGGACCTGTCAAATCAACAGGCTGTATTGATTGATTTTTGTAGCTGTGATTACAATAAAATGCCACTAGAGTGCGACAGAGTCCACGGAAACAAATCATGCTTTTCAAATGGGCATGAAGTTGTGCTTCGTATCACTTCAACCACCAGGACCTAATTGAACTTGAATTGAATTGGGGCTATGCATTTGTTAAAACATTTAACAAAAAATAAATACAAGCCTCATTGGTTAAATTAATTTAATTGGATTTACACACAATCACACTCCTTTGCATGTGCCGCTTCTTTATGTGCAATAAACCAATTTAAATGTAGATTTTGTTTATTCATGTTTTAAACAAATGTGTATAATACCCCATAATACATAAAGGGTATTGTATTCAAACAGACACAATGAACCATTCAGATACTCAGTAGAACACATATGCCTTTTATTATCAAATATCCGAACATTGTAATGAAGGTACAGCATATTATGTGTGCACGAATGTCATATTCACAGGCCTCCAATAAATAATTTGTAAACACATATCATCAGTGTAAAGGCAGATACAGTAATGAATGCACACTGAAAAACCTAAAAAATGCTTTGGCACTTTCAAAACTTAAAATACAGAGTTACATAAATGAGGTGGCGATAAAATATATTGTTCAGGTAAACAGAAGGACAGAATAGATAGAACACGCTAACACGGGACGCTTATTGTGCCTCCCATGCCCTTTAACCTTTTACTGTATGTCATATGAACTTTTTCTGTCTTACCACAAAAGGAAAAAAATATATATATTATCACAACATGTATCACTACCGAGACAAACTCTGACTGTCCACATATGAAAAGCAAAATATTATCTATTCTCATTTAAGGTGGCAGATGAAGAACAGCCAAAATGAGAGGAAAAACATTTCAGAGAGAAACCATTCAAGGGTTTGTGTAAAAGGAATAGTAAGCTGCCATGCCTTTGGATGAGGGGGCGTCTTTGATATAGGAGCTACTGTTGATGGCAGCAGAGGCCAAGTCCTCACACTTGATGTCAGAGCTTGAGTCCTCTGTGATGGGGCCATTGAGAGACAAGCGCCTTCGTTTGCATGCCGTTGAGTACGAATCTGCCTTGTCTAAGGACAGAGTTGATGGCTGAGTCTCTGTCCAGGAGGAGATCAGGCGTGCACTGCCGTTCACCTCCTCTTCTATCTGTGCTTTAACTTTGTCTAAGTCTTCTGAAAAACCAGTGGTGGTGCTGGGCCTAGGGGACCAAGGCAGGCTTGGAGAAACCTTCCTCTGGTATGCTGCTCGGGACCCCCAGCCTGCAGACATGGTGGTGAAGGGAGAGTCTGGGTAGTAGCTGAGAGCGTGGGATGTTTGCATGGATAGGGATTTGATACCATAGGGAAGCAGGGAGCTTGAGTATTCCCCATCATAGGGTGTCAGATCTAGCTTGTTGCTGGTGCTAGTGCCGCTTCCCCCTTGCTGCATGGAGGTGACAAACCACCTCTGCGAAGTGGCGTCCTCTGCCTGAGGTGAGAGGAGGCTGTTTGTCTGCGGCACCGCTCTCTCGCTGTTGTAGTAGCGATTCTGAGGGAGGTTATTGACAAATTGGTCCTGGAAGAGGGGCTGCATGGCGTACCGGGCCCCAGGGACAATCTGGTGTACACGGGGAGAGCTGGTAGGAGATGGTGTGAGGCGGTCGTTCTCTGGGGCTGCGTACATCCTGGAAAATATATGTACGTATGAACTTGAGGTCAAGGAAGGGCAGTGTCTGGGTAAAAAAAACATCTTTCAAAATGAGTTGGCAAACTCCCATGAAACAACAAAAAAAGTTGGCAAATTTAAGAAACCATTTACAACAGAGTTTGATGCAATAAAAAACTGAAAGCCCTATGTTGTAAACATTGTATTTTTACATTCAGTTTGTAATTCATTTATTGTGTATCAAATAAAGTAAAAATACTCACGAATCGTAATTGTCTCTGAATCCTTTGGCAAAGGGGTTGTGATCAATTTTCAGCTGTGTGATCTATAACAAAGCAAAATGGAAGGATACAATTAATATTTATATGTGAAGATTAGCAGAGAAAAATGTAAAGAAGCATCATGCAGTTACATTTCTACACAGAAACATAATGTTAACATTAGAACATGTCATCCAATGTTGAATTTTAATAAGGGAATTTACAAATACACTGGTAGAGCAGAACAAATACATTGTTGTAAAACAGGGATTTTAGTCGAAGCAATAATAACTTTCTATAGAAATACACAGAAGTGTGTTTGTTTTAATGCTTACATCAGTGTTCTGGTAGGCAGTCACAGCTATAAACTGGTTCTCTGGGAAGGTGAAGCTCTGAGTCTTCCCCTCACTGCTGATGTCCTCCACCCCGTCCTCCATCACCTCCACGATGTGCAGCCTGGGCTGGTACTTATGCAGCGATTGCAGGACAACCATCTGCATGTAAACACCATACAAACCATTACAATAACCAATATATAATCTACAAATGGTTTGGCCTAATTACGCAAATTAATTTTCTACCAAACACAAATAATGACGTTTAAAAAAATAAAAGTTTTTCATAGTTTTAAAATACACCCGAGTGTGCTATGGTTTTTTTCCCAACTTAAATGGTTTGCATGCACCGCATTATTAATAGATATTTGTTTTACTTTAAGATGTATTAAAAATACATTTCATAACTAATTATTTTAATATTCGGGAGGGAATTTATTTCTGTATTTTTTTATTTGCCATACCTGTGAAGTATTGATATTTGTTCCTTTGTTGTTCGTGAGTTTCAGTTTGCTGAAGGAGATCTCTTGTCTCATCCAGTGTGCCCCGGTGTTTGGAGACTCTGGGTGGATGTACACTTTGTTTCCTGAAATAAATAAATAAAGAGAAAGAATTTAATTTTTTTAATACGTGATTTTGCACACCTTATTTCAAAACTACCTTGAATGAAATTATTTTTTTTCAAATAAGAAATATTTTATTTCCCCGTTTCACTTATTTCCAAAGTTTTTATTTTTATAATTGAAACGAGATAGTTAGCCCTTAATGTATAACCCAACACGAACATCAATTCAACATCGAACTAAAGGAAATGTTGAAAAACAGTTTCAGTACCTTGGCTGCTGTTGTCTGCCTTCCCACAGGTCACCCACTTGCCACCCTGAAATCTCCAGTGGTTAGGGTCCGCCAGCACCACCTCCACAAACACGTTGTAGTGCGCCGTCAGGTTGAGACCAGCTATGTTAAAACTGAGAAACGGAAACATCCGTCTGCAGACACACAGCAAAATACAACAAATTACAGAAAGTTTTAGCATAACAAAAACATCTCCTTGTTTCCGAGCAAATAAAGATATTATTCATGAATAGACACGGCACTAAATCCCTATGAAAATCACTAAAGATACACCCTCCTGACCCTCCATCTCACCTGCCCTGCTTGGTGATTATCATCTCGGTCTGGTGCCGGTGGAACTTGAGCCACAGCGGCCGGTTGCAGAGGTAAACCTGGGCCCTCATCCCCGGGCCTGTGGTGGGTAGATTCAGGTTGCTCAGAGCCGAGCCGGAGCTGGCGTAGGGCGGGTAGAGGCAGCCGGGGCTCTGCCCGAGCTGGTAAGCCGGGCTGAAGTGACTGCGGCCGGAGGAGGGGGGAAACCCCGCGGGAGGCAGCACGGAGCCCAGGTGGAGAGATGAGGGGTACCTGGTGGCGCTGGACGGGGTGTACACCGTCCCACTGGGGGTGTAAGGGATAAAAGAGCAGGGACTCGGTGTTTCTGGACTTTGTTTAGAAACAGTAGAATGGAGGTAGTATGAACGGTCTGCACCCATCCCGTGCTCTGTGTATCTGCTGCCAGCCGCCGGGTCCTCCGCCTCTACAGCCGGAGACTTGCGCCTGTCCCCGGCTGCCTCCTTAGAGGAGAAGCTGCTGCTCTCCCCTTCAGCGCCGAGCATGACTGGTTTGTTGCCTTGTATTAGAGATTAGTTTCTTACTTCGATCCCAGGTGAGATGGTTCTTTTTTCCAGGAGTCTCATGCGAGCATCCACACCAGTCTGAAGACAGAAACATATGACATGCAGTTAATAGCAGCCCATGAAGTTAGTGGGGTCGGTTACCTGGTTTACCATAACTTGAAAGGCCTTAAACTGGTGCCATAATAAGCATAGACGAACAAAATAGTAATCCGTCTTCAAAGGAAAGCCATTATCACTTCTTCCTGGGTGATTCAGGGTGTGGTTCAAAACTTGAACTGATCATTTTATTGTCTATAACAAATCACTGACTTTAAAGTAGCCTACGTCATATTTACCATAGACCTCCGTTTCTATTTCTCCTTTAGTTATTTGTCTTCTTTTTTTTTAAATCAGATGAAAATTGTTGATATAATTAAAGGTAATAAAATAAGCTGTCGTGGCCACTAAAGTCAATAGTTCAAATACAACCATAACAAATAGGCCTATATGTAAGCTAACTAACTAACTAACAGACCAAATCAAAAATAAATTATGATACTTTCAGGTGGTTAACCTCCTCGAGATTTCTCGTTAATCTTACGACAAATTATACAATTTTGGTGGAGTAACTTTGTAATATAAATCTGAAGTGAAAGCTCTTCTTGAAATTAGTGCAACATTTGAAATGTTCAATTTGAACCGCAAACATTGTAGTAACTCAAATTGTTCTTATAATGGCTTTTCATATTTTACAAGATAATCACACATAGGCTAATTACGAAACGCTTTCAGATCCGTATTTATTATTTTATCAACACACAAATAAATGTAAAAATGTAGTGACTTTCTAGATAATAGACAGGATGCTGTTAATCCTAACTTATTATTCAGAGATAATGAATTTGCATTCATTCAATTCTGAAACGACTCTGTGTCCCAACGGGATACCCAACGTGAAATAGAGAAATAGCCAATTATGTTTCCGTTTGAAGAAACCTGTGATGTTGGTTAGATCAGACAGTTCGGCGTGAGAAAACGAGGAAAAAAAACAAATGTGAAATATCCTATCCAAATAAAAGAAAATACGTTAAAAAAAAAGATGTGTATACAATCAAATGTGGCTCAATTGCCTGTAAATCATTTCAAATTATTTAAGGTGTATTTTGGAGCGATTACAGTTGCCATGTATATTCTATTTCAATTTTAAAATGATCAAGTGTTTAATCAAAGTGGCATGCATTCAAAGGTATTCATTTTTATCTAAAAATACAAATATATAAACTTACCAAGGGAAAATGCCTCCTGTTTTCGTTTGAAAATCAAGTTCAAGCGAATAATTTCAGCGATAAAAACTTAGGCAACATCAATGCGCGAAGTAGCCTTCTCATCTGAGTCCATAGCAGCACAGGACAGCATGTCGGAGTAAAAGTAAAGCCTGAGTCATGAGGAGGAGGAGGATGCTCTGAGAGGAGAGGCGCTCTCTCTGTGTGGCCATAACGCACAGATAGCAGCCTATTATCAGATTCTCCTCTGATCTCCAGGGGAGGGGCATCACATCACTGCCAGGGTATATACGAGTGAGGCTCTTCCCCAATTCATTAGTCTCGTCCTCCTCAGATACACCAACAAAAACTCTCCCTTCAGGGCTTAGATGGTTCCTTTAGGGGCCTGTATTGCAAAGTGTATGAAATATAAAAATATAAAGTCTCAAATTTAAATAAATCCAGTTTTATGTTCATATATCTGGAAGGTGGTGCTGATCCGGCCACAAAGTTATATATATATATATCTTTAAAAAAGCCTAAAAAAAAGCCCCAAATCAGAATAAGAGTTGCTGCTAATATACACTAAGGTAACTTTTAGAGATATAAACTATTGTTGCTGAACTTGTTACTTTGCATCTCTGGGATTTTTCCATAACGGTCTGAAAAGGGTGAAAACTTAGTGTAAAGAATACACATAAATACATGTTATTTTAAATATCTGTCTGAAAAAGACAACAACTGATCTCTCACAAACCTGTGGCTCTCTTGGTTTTTTTCTTTGGTTCATCCCCAACAAAAAGGTACACTGCTGATGATGAATGTTGCCGAACTGTTTCCCCAATATACACATACCTCTGTCACAAAAGCACAGAGAATTCACAGATCATTTGGGAGCTATAGGGACTCAAATCTCTATTTGATTCTTACAGTTCAAAGGGAACCAAATTCAGACTCTTTTAAAATGATGCTGTATTACTGTGTGAATGGGGCACTTAAAGCCCAGCTCTCCTCAACACCAGACGATGCTCAGCTGCTGCTGCGTTCTTAGGAAAGTTTACATGACAATGACAGTGAGAGGATTATTGAAGCAGGTCACCACCTCTGAAATAAACACATTGAACATCAAACAAGACAAATCAACTATTTGGGTAAACTGTTTGAACAGCAAACAATCTAAAGCTAGTACATCTCTGCTGATTGCACTGATAAACTCATTGACTCATTGAGTTGTTTATTTCAGGAAGTCATGAATATATAGTGAGAATTCACAGAACTAACTGTGCACAAGAAGTTTTAGTGGTCCTAAATTAGGTTTAAAATTATAACTGTTTCCCCTGGTACCCCTACACCTACTGCTTGAGAGGATCTTTGTACTTAGATCATTTACTATAAGTATCTTACAAATGAATTCTACCAATTGTTCACTCTATCTTAATTTGATTGAAACCCAAGCACGTTACCTCTCTTTATTACTTTAGCTTTGTTTTTCTTTATCTAGCAAATTACCCATCTGACACAAAAACACATATGGTCAAATGCATGGATGGTAAAAACCAGTTAGTCAGCAGTGTGAACGTGTCAAGTGCTGAAAAGTTCCTATAAGTTTCTGCTTGTCCCTGCAGTGCAGGGGCTCCCGCACTCTCACACATTTTCTGCATTCACACGCCTTCAGAAATATCTTAAAGGTCCCCCCTCCACTCAAAATGTGTCTATTGATACTGCACTTCAATGGTGTGCAGGATGATGTATGTGCAGTTTCACGCTGTTTGAACATTCATCTAATGATAGGGGGGAAACTTATTATGTGCCCACCTTAAATCTGAAGATGGAGAACTGGTTAATGCCTGATTGTGACATCAAAAGAGTGGAGCCAGTCCGATATGCCACTTTACAGCAGCATGAAAGCTCCAGTAATGGATTTCTAGTGTAAATGATTTTATATGTTGAAATAACCAATATATGTTCACATACTTTGGATTTGTCATGATTAACACAGGGTATGCAATTTTTTTTGAATAATGTGGTCAAACTTCTTTGTGTAAAAAAACAGAGCTTTTATTCAAACTAAAGCATTTAATCTGTCTTAAAGGGCCCATGTCATGGCCATTTCCACTGATCATAATTACATTGTTGAGGTATACTAAAATAGATTTATACTGTGCAATTTTCCAAACTCACATTGGTTTCGCATACAGCATCTCTGTCAAGCATGTGTATTCAGCAGTATTCACTTTCTCCACTAAACGACTCGTTGGAGCTCTTGCCCCCCCCTCCCTGTGAGCCTAGTGTGCTCCGATTGGTCAGCTCGGCCACTCGTTCTGATTAGTCAACCACCAGAGAGGCTGCGCCCATGTCTAACAGTGCTTTTCCCGGCTGCTCTCAGCGTAACATCAGTCTTATCATGGCGTCGGCACAGCCGTATATTTTATATACATATATATTTTTAACTGTTGTTATAGAAGAGTGTGACGGCCCCAGGGCCTTTGTCTTACGATGGGGTGGAGCTGAAGAGGCTAATCAGCACGATCACGGACACCTCCGGACACTACGGCCCCAGTCTCTCTCCAAAGCGGCTGCAGGAAGACTAACTCTGCGATCCTCTCAACATGCCCGGCGCCGTGGGAGGGCCAGGGAGGGCCAGGCCCTCCCATTTGACATTCCTGCCCTCCCCCAATAAACAAGTTTTTTATTATTTATCAATTTTTTTTTTTAAAAGATCTTTATTTTTTTAATTATAAATAAACTGAACTTTTATGCTACGATGTATGTGATGTCAGATAGTAACTAAAAAAAAAAATCGCAGGCTACGTCAAATAAATCCATGTGTCTGTTGTGATTTGTGATTCGTCCACATTTAGACCAATCACAGCGTCACACTCTGCCGCCTATTCTGGATTTGTTTATTGTGCATTCTGTAGACTCCCATTTCTGTTTGAATTACAAAATTCTAGGTCTAAGGATTTATTAAAACGAAATAGCGATGAAAGAACTGCAGCCGATGGTGCTGCTGGCGACCCTGCACCTGCCGTTGCAGCAGCACGCCTTAATGTCACAAGCTTGACCTCGGCAAACCCCGGGGCTGAGTTAGCGAGCCCAATCCTTGACTCATCAAGGCGGGCGCCACCAACGCTGTCCTCCGAGGCACAGCTCCTTGTGCCCCTACCATCACCACCTGCGTTGCCACACCCTGTACCACACCCGCCAGCATCCTCCTCCTCCGTGCCGGTGCCTCCACTACAGACGCTACCTTGCAGCACATCAACAGGTACTATTGGTACGCTCAAAGACCAACAGCCCCAGATGATCTTGGGGTTAATAAACCCAACCAGGTGAAACTGGATCGTTATTCAGAGAGATTGTTTTCAGGAAAGAAGCACACTGTTGCCACTGCATGGTACAACAACAGACCATGGCTTGAATATTCGCTAAAAGCAGACGCAGCCTTTTGTTTCCCCTGGAGACAGTTTAAAGTAAATACGTCTTCATCTGATGCGGCTTTTACTGTCAAAGGTTTTTGCGACTGGAAACCCGCATTACAGACTGATAAAGGACTGCTAAGACATGCCGCATCAAAAGAACACATTTCATGTGAGAGTTTGTGGAGAGAGAGACAGATACGCGAGGAAACAAATAAGGAAATTAGTACTTTGGTGCACACAGATCAGCTGGCACGGAACCGTTATTACGTGTCAGCTGTCGTTGATATTATAGCTTTTTTAGCTGTCAACCAACTCCCTCTCAGAGGTGACCACGATTCACTCCACAGCATGTCCGAGTCAGGCAGTGGGCTCTTCCTATCGCTGTTTGAGTATACGCTGCACAAAGATGCAGAGTTGGCCTTGCTGTTTGATATATATTGTGCCGCAGGCCCGCAGCACATGACGGTTTTGTGTGCCCTCCCATGAAAATCATATGCCCTCCCTTTAGATTTGTTCTGGCGCCGGGTCTGCCTCTCAACCACCTATCTCTCCATTTACCACAATAAATGTGCCGTGGTTTTGTAAACTCGTGTATGTCTCCTTGTCTTTGTGGCCTACGAGCCGCTCATAACAAAGAGTACGTTATTTTTACCCGTTATAAACTACTACTGTTTGATGAGAAATCAAATCATGGTTTGCTATATATGAATTCAGGGAAGAAAGGATAGGCCTACTAAGTATTTCCATTAAACTTAATTTTTTTTCGAGAAATGACCCCTTAAATGATGACTTCTGGTGATGTTAGAGGGGGGGGGAAAGGAGAAATCGAGGCTTAAAAATATGAGAAGACTGATCAATACCTCCATAATCTTCAGTGTGGAAAATATTATTTATCAACCTGAACATCTACTACTTTACCAGGAATTTGTGTTCTCAGAACTGGTCTGTTTTTTTCTTTCTTAAAACTGTTCATGTTTTATGAACCAACACCTTCACCAAGTAGCTTTACAGTGAACTGCATGTGAGATATAAAATTAATAGCATCTTTTCAGTAGCATTAATTATAAATATTTAAGTGGTTCAATACAAGTCACTACAGCATTTCAAACTGAACTGTGAATAAATGCAATTTAAAAAAAATAACCACAGCACAAAATGTCATAAATTGTGTTTTTTCTTTGTTTCTCTGAGGATTATTTACAAACAGGCTTATTTACATATAGCAATAACTCAGAAATGAAAAAGCTACATCGTCTAACACGAACAACCAGTTAGCATAATGATAATATATGTGTTATGTACAATGTAACTGGCAAGGCTAGAGCAAGAAAGAACATAAAGTTTGCAAAAGGTTTAAATAACTTCAAGTATCTGTCTTCAGATTACGTGGAGGTTTTAGTCCGATGGGAAGCAGATTTTAAGCGACACCGAAGATAAACCAAAAATGTGGTGGAGCTGCAAACCGTGTAGTGTTGCTGGGACAGAACAGGAGCTATAACCGTTGGAAAATACATCACAGACAATGCAACAAACGTGGAGACAGAACAATCACTTCTGTGATAAATGCCCACTTATTAATAAACTTCTAACAACCATGGGAAACCTCCTCTCTACATATAAAGTGATATCCAAGCATGGGAAACAAAAGACAGCATTTACCTGTTTGCATCCAGCTAGCCAAGCCTTTCTTGTGTACCAGCTACTTGTGAAGCCTCGTGTATAAATGTTGTCTTTTTCACGAGATTGCTGCGATATATTCAAATCGGGTTGGTCCGGTGCAAGGTCTT